TTTGCTTTTTGCACATTCTCACATTCACACTCTGCTTCGCGCAGACATGTCTCTGCCCTGACTCTGCAGTGTGTGGCTCTAGGGGAGGGTGGCGAGCTCAAGGAGCTTGTTGGCGTGAGTAGTGTTGTAGATGTAGGTGACAGATGAGGAAAAAATGTAACATTTGACAACAAAAAAAACCGCTAAGTTGTGACGCGTAAGAAGCGTCTCACACGTTCCTTGCAGTCACATTTTATTTCTTGTTTCTTGGATCTACCAAGTGTGAAATCACTAACTTGTCTTTCATACAGCAACCAAATGTGAGCCCTAAAGCTGAATTACTTTCTAAAGTTCTGCAAAATATTGAAGCTCTTTTTGAGGCACTTACACACATAATTAAGAGCAAAAAAAACGAATAAACGCGCAAATAAACTGGGAATTCTCGAAATTATCCAAACAAATGAAGTTTACTTGAGTGCTTAGATGACACAAAAAGCAATCAAAAAAATATGCTTAATTAAAATAACTGCATTTTAATAGACCGCAACGAAAAATGACCCAAACAGCATCAAATTTAAATGTAGATTGCATATAAATTAGATTTGAATGTAAGGCCAAAACAAATGAATTGATACAATTATCCTGCTCTGGGAATATCTTGGTACTTATTCTGTGTACGTATGCGTGCGTATGTACCTTAAATGGGACACAATTCCCAATTGGTATCCGATTTATAATATGCCATTGATTCCCTTTCCCCCACTCCATGGGCAGCAGCCGACACGTGTCCCCCCGAGCATCATGTGTCAGAGCCATCAACGGTGGGAGAACATTTACATGCGAGTTTTCCATATGTCATTTAGATGTTTTGACAATCGAAGAAGGCAGCTCAAGTGTGCGTACGAAAACAATCGATTTGGGGCTCTCTTTTTGTATCTGCCTTTATTTTTGTTGACCATCTTCAAGAGTCAGAAAAGTGTTTGCCTACTTCTAGGCGCTGCCAGCGAGAGATACAGAGAGATGGCTAGAGAGGGAGTTGTGTGAGAGAGAGAGAGAGGGAGAGCTCCAGAAATGTACGATGCTAAATCTTTGGAAAATTTTCCAGAATACGAGCCGTAAAATTCATTCACTTAATTTATTGGCAACAGCTGCTGATGCTGTATATAGAAAACTTTAACTTTATTTTGAACGAAGGGAGAGCTTTCCGTCCTACTATTTATTTGTGTATTTGGCACCCTGAAAATGGGATAATGAGTGCTTTTCACCATAACCCAAGCCAGCTCGAGGCAGCCCATCGTCTCCGCGCCTGTCCGAGTTGCTAAGCAACAGGTAGGCCCGCAATTTGGCGAAAAGAGAAGCTAAAAACGGTAATGTTCTCCCAGCCATGGCTAAAATCAGCCCAGATGCCGAACTGTGGGCTCGTGCCTCGTGGCGCCCATGATTTCGCTTTCGTTCGCTGCGTCAGGGAAATTTTTGGTCCGCTCGAACAAAATTCCCCGCTAACAGCAGCCAGGAAAATTCTCTCGCATGCGACAAGGCCGAAAGAGGAGATGTTCACGACGAGGAGCCGAGCCGGAAGGGGCACAGATGCGAAACCAAAAACCGAGACCGAAACACTTCTCGCCTCGCCTCGTGGCCCACTGGCACACTCGCTGCTCGACTTCGATTCTGATTTTAGTTCTCGTTCAGCTTCGCCGACGGCACGACGTGTTCCATAGAAAGCCCAGAAAATCAGACGAAAATAACTAGGGAAATTGTCGTGTTGTTCGACTGCGCGGGCCACGCAAAAGCGCAAATGTAAAACTTCCAAACATCCAACAAAATTAAATATGTTAAATCATTGAAAAACAACAAAAAAAAAAACAATTTCTTGTGTGAGTTCTAGATTCCCTGAAGTTTAGCATATTTGCGTTTTTTTTTCGGTGACTTCAATTATATGTTTATTAATGCAATCAAAATGTTGATTCAATTGGAAAAGTTTGAATATTTCGAAGAGTGTTTCCCTTTTTATTGTAGTTTTTTTCAAGTGCAATGAACAGAATCTAATTGGAATAATGCAACAAAAGTTGTTCAGGAAACAAAGCATAAACTGAAACAGGAAAAATTCAAATTAAAAACATACAAAATTATTTGAAAGAAACCAAAAGCTTCAGGCCGAACCCTTTGCAATTATTGTGATATGGCAAATTAAATGGTGTAAGCTGACTAAATCGGCTTAACACCTGTCCGCAATCAGGCAGCATCGTGTTTCGGGGGCACATGGCTCAATCCTCTTGTTGTTTGGCCAAAAATGAAACCATTCGAGCTTAAAGTGTTAATTCCCAAAATGTTTGAGGCCCCAGTCCTGTTTCTCTCGGGAGAACTGCGTTGTTCCACAGAAAGCACTAAGACCGAGTCTCGGAAAATGGTTGCTGCCGGCGGCTCTTAAAGGCCTTAGACCTTAGACCCAGTGTGTACCCTGTAAATGAGCCTTATCGCACGGTCTCTTGGCTACCCGAAAGTATGCTATGGACTTTGATTTCCCTCTGGCTTTATAATCTCAAACTTAAAGCCAACTTTAACTTGAAGTGATTAAAGATTTGGGTGGAAAATATATATATATCAGCATTGCGGCTTTCAAGCTGGGGTTAAATGAATCAACTTACATTAGAATAAAGTTAAGTGCAATTTACGATTGGGTTCCACCAGTTCCACAATAGTGAACGTATTCCAAGATGTCTATGGGAGTTTCTGGAAGCTTGATCTGGATCTGGATCTGCCAAATAGAGACAGAAAATACTTGTGCATGCAGTTGTAATACAAATAATTCCAACTAAACAAGATTAAGATCTGGATCAGCGGAATATTCAGATATTCATCTTGGAACCACTTTCAATGTGCCTAAATTACTTTGGACATGTGCCACCTTTCACTGCTTTAATGTTCTGATTGGAAAAGACATGGCGAATACGAGTTAAGCAATTTCGAAGTACTAAGTACTTGGTATTCCCATAAAATTCCAGAAATGTCCCTTCCCCATTTCAATGTCACACGCGCCATTGCCGCCTTTACCTCTGCCCCTTGCCTGTTCCACAAACGTTTATAAATGTCTCCTCTGCCCACCGCCCGAGCACTCACTGGTTTAATATTTAACCTGCTTGGGCGTTGTGTTTTAAATTTTTAATTAAAAAAGAAACCAAACAAAACAAAACAAACCGTTCAGAAACACCAACTGAAAGCACAAGAAGAAGCGACTCTAGACGGTGGGGAAAAAAAGAGTGACAAGAAAAAATAAAAATAAAAAACACCGTTTGAAGCACTTAATTGCATTTGGCGTGTTTAACGTGCAGCTGCCTCGTCGCATAATTATCAAAATGTTGCTCATACGCCGTGTGGCGTACACCCAAACAGTTGCTGCACTCGCATATGTGTGGTTGTGTGTGTGTGTGCAGGTGTGTGCGTTGAAGCGCATTTAATTTTGGCCAGCACTGCCCGGGGTAGTCCAAGCCCCCTTTTTTTTGGCATTAGAAATATTACACATCCGCCGCTTGGGTCGCAGCTGTGCGCGCAATGGAAATGCCTGCGAAAAGCGGCCTGCAACATTTATGAAAATTGTCGCATTAAAGCCAGCGGCACTCAATTGTTTTCTGATTAGTTTCAAAGCGTTTGCTGTGCCTCCTAATTATACATGGCCATTCTCGGAATAATTAACTTTCATTTGCGAATCTTCAATCGAAAAGTTATCTCATTGCCCAAAAAACACTTTCCGGGGCTTCTTCATTATATACATAATAATAACTGAAAGAGAATTTGGAGAATTAGGAGCAAATGTCAGCAAAAGACAAGTCCAAACCTTAACATTTGTTGAAGCCAATGCTTTGAAATACAAGAACCAAAATAGTACCGGAAAAATTCGGTGAAATGCAGTAGGAAAATGACATAATTCTGGGAAAATACGTGGTAGTTTGCACTTCAATCAAAACTGGAAAACCAAACTGCATTGGTCTTGGGAAATCTCAAGTTTCCACTCAGCTGTAGTTTGCTGATTCTGTTTTCTTTCAGAGCTCCAGTCGGCTCTCAGTCTGCCTTTACCTTTGATACTCGCAAACAGCTTAGACCAGCACTTGAGCCTGCCTCTCTCTCTGTCTGTCACTCAACGTTCGAATGGGCCTAATGCAAATCTGATTGGCTCAAAGGAGCAAATTCGGCAAGAGAAGATGCTGCTCTTGGCCATCATTTGAGATCCATTCGAAGACCGAGAGAGGCGACAGAGGAACTAAAGACTTGTGTGCGGCTCATGCAGTTGATAAACAATATTTGTTGATTTCCATTAGGTGTTTGATGGCACCAGAACACCAGAATACAAGCTACAGAAATATGGCGGGCAGGCCGAGGGCTAGGGCGAGGGAAACTCATTCGCTTGTGGCAAAATTTCATTCATAAGAGAAATTTGTTTAGCCTTTTTGTGCAGCGTTTTTCAACGTTTTTATGGCATAAACAAAATTCTCCCTGGTATTAAAATTGTGATTTGCGTGGTGAGGTGGTGCAGACACCTTTGAACCACTGCACCACAATTTATGTGAATAAATATTTGCCACTACCCGCCAATGCTTATTGTTAGTAATAGCATAATTAAAGTGTTTTTCGGCATGATGCAGCCCCGATTCCGGGAATCGTTCACACAGATTGCAGTGCTCATTATTCGAACTAAGGCACTGAAAGATTCTACGAAAAAATATTTAATTGGAGCTTGTCCAAATGTCACCCATCCTTATCGTCATTTGTATCCTCCAATCTCTTGTATTTTTTGGAAATTGTTTCATGTTTTCTATAAGTCTCCAAATATTTGTGCTTCCATTTGCTGGAGTTTTTTTTGCCTGACTCTATTTATTTCGATGCATATTTCGACCGCAATAAATATAAGATCTGATGCAATAAATAATTGATTAAATAAATATGCTAACAAACAAATGAAATACAAATTGTTGTGCCATAAACTATAGATGAAACAGCAAAAAACCTTATAAATTCTAAAGAAAAAGAAAAAAAACAAACAACCAAAATGTATGAACATGATATGTTTGGGGTGTCCGGCGTTTGATTGATTTGTGTAACCAATAAGCTGAAAACTTAGTCCAAAAATCACCAAGAACAACAACGACTAAGCCCAAACATTAGCGGGTGAGTAGCCAAATAAGTAAATTATAAATGAAGAACAAATAGAGATTAAATATAGGACCAGCAGCGAGTGCACAACATTGCTCAAAACACCAACACCAACACCAACACCAACACATTGCATTAATCACCACTAAAAAATGAACAATCCAAAACGACAAGCGCAACAACATTAAGTTGTTTGTTGTTCTTCGCTCTGGATTATTTATCTACTCGTACTTGCTTCTTTTTTACTTACAAAAATATTTACAATTCTGCGACACTGCAAATGTTTGCGTTTAAAGGGTAAACGAGCGAATGGGGAGGTGTAAAAGGTGGGCCCGAGCTGCTGATTGAGGTGACATCCGGCAGCTTTAAGCTATTTAACGTTAACGAAAGTTAACTTCCACGATAGGGCAACAATTAGATATAAATGTTGGAAATGTCTCCAGTTTATCGAATATTCCACTTTGGATCTGGTCTCTGGCTCCAAGTATTTATTTATTTTGAATATTTTTGTTGATTTTGCTTTTGCTTTTGGCAATGGGAGACAATTCTTATGAAATTAGTCAAATGCACGAGACGATGTCGAGAACAACAACATTTTGTAATGCACAATAAAGTAATATAAATAATAAAAGAGCCTGCAGAGGGGGCCCCCCATTAGGACGCTGGATGGGGGGGGGGGGGGGGGGGGGGGGGGGGGGGCAGTGTGTGGGCCCAGAAGAATACTTTATAACTTTAGAATAATTTATTAATATGTCAAAGACATGTTCCTGGGTTTGTTTTTGTTTTTGTTTTCGTTTGTATTTCCAACTTCCTGCTCTTATGACATTGAATTTTCTTACTTTCCCGCTAATTCTCTCCTCATTTTTGTACAAAACAAGACAAGGTGGAGGGAGAACACTCGAAAGGAGCAGAGAGGAAAACTCAATTCAAACTGCGGCAAACTTCACGGGAACTACTCGCATTGTAGCTCCGCCATCCTGGTGTAGCTCCACACTCAAATTCACTGAAAATAAAGTGTATTAAAAAGCGAACTTTTAGCACAACCCAAGAAGAAGTGGCGTGTGGAGATATCGGCGATGTCTTTCCTCATTTTACCTTTTGGGCACACAAATTGCCAGAAACTTCATCCATTTTCCTGCATTTTCCCCCAGTATTTGCTTGTTTTCAAATGTGCAGCGAGCATAATTGGGATTGTCTGGCGAATCTGTTGACAGTCCCACAAAAAAGCCTTTTCGAGCGAGGGTTGCCAGACAAGTAAGAGGTAGACAGCGAGAGAAAAATAAGAGGTGGGGCCCAGAGAGACAGAGAGAGAGAGAAGACAACAAAATCAAAAAAAAACAGCAACAAATTTAATTTCGTAAGTGACTTTTGGCAAGACAGGTGAAGGTGTCTATAAATATAGGCGATGTCAGCATAAATTTCCCAGGCAGCCTGCAACAGCAGCCGAGAGAGAGAGAGAGAGAGAGAGAAGAGAGACGGAAAAATATAGAGAGAGCGAGGAAAATCAAAGCGAAAATCGAACGAAGAAAAGGCTGTAAAATAATCAAAGCGCTTTCGTCAATTCATGCAGCGGCACACACACACACACACACACACACATGTGTACATGCATAAATAACCTGCAACTTTGTTGCAAACACAAAGAGTGTGGAAGTGGGGGGCGTGGCCGAAAAGATATAGAAACAACAAGAGCTGTGCACACACAAATGGACCGACTTGTCGCTCGCAATAAATATAACCCCAAAAAATACAAATAAAAAAATATCAACAAAAAAAAAAACAACAGAAAAACCCATGTACATCAACATCAAAACTACACGCAAAATACGTACACTAAATTCACTTCAGGATTTTCGCTTGTCAGCTGTACATATTCCCCCCGGGAAACCGGTCACCCAGCCACCCAGCCACCCAGCCGTGTGTGCACCCAAAAAACGAAAATTTTGGATTCAGCTGGGATTACCTTTCTGCTGCCTGACGTCTAATTTTGGTTGCGAGTGTCAGGATTTTTAAGGAAGCTGCTTCTATTTTTGCCTTACAAATTCATCACCAGCAAGCGCCCTAAGGCCAGACATCTCATTCACAGATGGTGCATACATGCATGCACATGCCGCTTTGTAGTTTTTCTATCATAAATAAGTTTAAAAATCCCTACAAAATAATTCTAAATCAACTCATAACAGCTAAGCAGCAGGTAGTAGCAATGGCAATAATTTGCTTCTTTGATTTGTTTCTTTTTGCCTATCTGGGATGCGGGCAGTTCTGTGGACCCGCTGAAGTGTTTGGGCGCTTTATGTGCAGCACCGAAGTTGTAAAAGCAGTGGACAAACTTCACTGCCCATAGGCGAAAGTGTAATCCAAAGTAAATTGCACACAGATTTGGCCAAAGGATTCGACAGCCAAATGGGAAAGTTATTTTGGGTAACTTTATACTAAACAAACGTTCTATAAAATAATAGCTTTAAAGATCCTGTGGCAGCTAAAAATTGAAAACTTAAATGCAATAATCACTCGGATTATTTTAAATAATCAGCAATAGAGTCAAAAGTATTCCCAGTTTTAAGTTTCAAATAAGCAAATAAGCACTTCCACTGCAAGTATTTTCTTGGATTGCGAATTTGAATATCTTCAATAAACTCGGAGCTGGTAAGGCAAGCTGCGATGATTGGAAGGGGAAGTTGGCTATGCGAACTTGTGGCATATGTAAAGCGCTGCCTTGTTCCATAAATAACCCAAGATTGTATTTATTTTTGACACACTTCCCGTTTTTTGGCCGCCAGAAATGTGTAAGGTCTATTTGGTGTCCTTGGAGATGTTTTTTGTTTTTTTTTGTTGATGCCGATTGGTTGTTTGATAACAATGAAGCAGCACATCTCGGCGAACGGAACGGAACTTCACGTCGGGCATGGCAACTTGTTTTGTGTACAAGATTTATGCGAGGACTGCATTTAATTTGGTTCATTCCCTGGCTGGCGTGTCCCGTCGACGCGTCTTCCCGTGTCCTGTTCTTTCAGCCAGCCCCGAAAAGCAGCTACAACACATCCAAGGACATTCCCGAAACGCCTCTGAAATATGAGCCAAGTTTTGTGCTCTGGTTTTTCCCTTGGAAACCGCACGCACTTTTTTATCCCTCGGTTTTCATCACACGGAGCGCCAAAAAAAAAAAAAAATGAATGCGATGAGAGTGGGTGAGAGGGAGACCGCAGGGGCAGACGAGCAAAAATTGACACAGAAATTGATTTTTGGGCCTTTATCATGTTGCTCAGCGTTTCAGTGTTGTTCTTGCCGTAGCTACTCTCACACACAGCATCCCTTTTAACGCCCTCCTACCATCCCTTTCTCCCTGTGTGTGTGTGGTGTGTCTTGTTCCCCTTCGTCGGTTCTTATTTGTCTGCCTTTCAATTTTAGTTGTTGCTTTGTTGCCTTGCCGCACACACCCCACCCACATTTTGTTTCCTTGTTGTTCTTACTTTTCTTTACCGTTGTACGCCATGTTTTCGGTGCATGTTCGGGTGTGTGTGTGTGTGTGTTTGTGTGGGTTCGTTCTGTGTTCATATATCCCACAGCGAGGGCAAAAAGAAATTCGTATCATACCTGAGAGAGCAAGAGAGAGAGAGATGTGAAATGAAGCTGTCATTGACATTCATTTTCTAAAATAATATACGTACCACCTGCGATAAAAAGAAAAGCTCTGAAATCTGCAAATGAACTGTTACCATGAACTAATCGAGATATTGCGAGATATGGCTTAGAAGATACACAGTCCAGTCCAGTCCAGTCCACAGGCTTTTCTCTTGCGTACTACACACACACCACATCCATGGAATGTTTAAAGGGCGTAACTAAAGTTTAAAGTTGGGAAAAATCTGATGAGAACCAACATATGTATGTAGAACCACAGAAGGACCAGTTCGTTCGCCTTGCAGCGAATTCAGTCACGCGGATGATGGTGATTCATCATCGATGGTAACGCCGCACAGAGGGACCTCAGCTGAAAACAGTTGGCAAAAGGTGAAAGATTTGTGAACGCTGTGGATGCAATGAATAAACAAATTCAACAATCAATAAAAAACTTTAACTTTATCAGATATGAGCAACCAAAGTTGAAAATTATTTCTGTGTGCAAATATTTAATCAACCTTTAAAAGTAAAATAATGTAGTTCTAAAAGTAAATTAAGAGTAACATATGGAACGTATGCTTTCGTTTTTGGTATCATTTAATAGGTGTGCGTATTGTTATCAATACTAAATATTAAACTGATTATTTTCTTGCACAGTTGTAAAGTAAACATCATATTCCAAGCTTCCTAATGTTTGGGATGTTTTTTAACTTTAACTTGAGTTAACTCGCCCACTGTGCAACGCATGTCTTCCGTTAGCATACGCGAAATTTGTACCGCTATGCCATGTCATTGTTGAAACCGTTGCTTACGAACTGCCACCAAGTTAGCAGCAGCAAACTGCGCGCTGCTGCAGGAGAACAAAAAGAAATCTGGGAGAGGAGAACAGAGTGCAGTTATACTTGGGAGTGAAAAGAAGAGCAGAAGCAGCAACGCCACTGCAGTGAAAACAACAACAACGCACACAGCAGCGGCAGTGTCCATACATAGTACGGAGGAGCAACCTCATCAGAAGCAAAAACAAATTGCATTAAACAGGCAAATGGAATGCTTTACCCACCCTCATGCACACGCTCTCCCATTCGCACTCATTCGCTCGCTCACTCACTGGCATAGACAGCGGCATTCTTATGGCTTTCATTGTCAGCGAGCCCGTTTAGCGGGTCGTGGAAGGTGATAGAGAGTAAGTCAGACATTCAACAGGCGGCTGTGCTTAGCGCATTGCCCTTTCCCCTCTCCGAATGCTCCATGCCCTTTTGTCCACCGTTCTGCCTCTTCGTCTTTTCTCTACTCTTCGTTCAGTTGCTGTTTTTTTTTTTTGGCAATAAGGGAGGCGCCGGCGACAACAACGACGAAGATGGAAATGACAACGGCGTTGGGTTGCTCTTTGACAT